AGCCTGAGGGGCTCTGCATCTGCTCAGACTCTGCTGACCTCAGCAGAGCTTTACCTCACCTCCATGGGGGTGCGGCAGAAAAGCCAGGCTGTGACATAAAGGAGAGGCACGGGCACCTATTTGCAGCTACCTACTAGCTTTGATGAGGAGGTGGTTGTCTCCAACAGTGGGGCAGCTGGGGCCAGCTGGGTCTACAGGGGCACCGCAAAACCCACCACCACGTGTCTGGTCGCACTGGAGGACTCAGCAGGCAGCTGAGGAGAAACTGGGAAAAGTGATTTGTTTTTTATCTTGGTGATGTTTACTTTTTGAAATATTTGAAGTTCTTGGAAAGAAGACCCACAGCAATATCAGTAAACTGACGTTTTGGCAAAATGTTCATTGTTGTACAGTTTTTAACATACAAAGGCAGTGTTCCTCTTCTCCCTGAATGCCATTTTTCTGTATGATGTTGTTCTTACGCCAAATACAAAAATCTATAGGAATCAAAGACTGGTTTGCATTGGAAGGGATCTTCAAAGATCATCTAGTTTAAGCACCCTGCCATGGGCAGGGACATCTTTCACTAGGTCAGTTTCCTCAAAGCCCCTCCAACCTGACCTTGAATTCTTCCGGGATGGGGCATCCACAACTTCTCTGGGCAACCTGTTCCAGTGCCTCATCACCCTCATCATAGATAATTTATTCCTTACGTCCAATCTAAATCTACCCTCTTTCAGTTTAAAACCATCACCCCTTGCCCTGTCACTACAGGCCTTGGTAAAAAGTTTCTCTCTCTCTTTCTTATAAGCCCCCTCTATATGCTGAAAGGCCACAATAAGGTCTCCCTGGAGCCTTCTCCAGGCTGAACAACCCCAACTCTCTCAGCCTGTCCTCACAGGAGAGGTGTTCCATCCCTGTGATCATTTGTATGGCATCCTCTGGACCTGCTCCAACAGATCCATGCCTTTCCTGTGCTGAGGGCTCCAGAGCTGGACACAGGACTCCAGGTGGGATCTCAGCAGAGAGGAGTAGAGGGGCAGGATCCCCTCCCTCGACCTGCTGGCCACGCTGCTTTGGATGCAGCCAAACTGCATCATAACTGTGTTGAATCCCCATTTCTTGGGAGCACGTACTAAGAACGCAGAATATGTCCAGGCACTGTCCACCTTACATGCAGCTGGGAAGTAAAACTTAAAAGAAAAACCAGAATACAAGGCATGAGAGAGGATGTGACATCCAGCTTCTCTGCCAACGAACTCAAGGACAAGACCTCTTCTCTTACCTTTTGGGGTAAACGTACTCAGAAACAGTAATCCCACGACAGTGACTTCCATCATGTGGAGGATCCAATTAGAACTCAACTGCTCAAGTCTCTAGGATTCATTGATGTCTATCTGGTATAAACCAGCATGTTTCCAACCTCACCAAAAGTTTTCCTGAAACAAAGTAAGGCCCACTGAGACACTGAAGGCTTGTGCCACTGGTAGCTGCTGCTTGAATTCAGAAAGAAGAAAAAACTGACATCAACTGCTCTTCAGGCTGACGGACAGGTTTTTTTTCGCTTTTCTACCTGTACTTAGAAATTTCTTGCCTTTCCAGTAAACTACCCTTTTATGAAACACAATTTTGTAAGTGCCCAAGTAATTTACCCAAACTCCCCAGTGCAGATATGCAAGTCAGGTAAAGGTATGAAACCAGAAAGGGTACTGGAATAAGCATCTGAGACAGGAACCTGTGGAAGGGGGATGCAATGCCACTGCCTGTACACTTAGCTCACTGATGGGTTAATAACTTGGTGCTTAGAGGTTCTTCATTGAGAACAATGGGCAACAGCTGCTAATGGGGTCCGACACTAATGCCCTTGGGATGAAGAGGAAGGTTAATTGAATTCTAGTGAGGCTCCCTTTGTGTTGCAGAGCAATTGAACAAACCAGGGCAGCCAACTTCCCAGCATCAGCCTATGCACTGCGGCAAGTTCATCTGCAGTGTGACTAAACTGTCTTCAATAGAAGGAATGAATTTAGCCTCCTAAAGCTAAATTCGGGGAGACTGAGATAATTCCATTGGTAATTTTGACTGACAACTTAGGCCAATCTTTGTTTTTATTTGTGGAAATGTTGCAGGAGAAACCTCTTGTATGGGAGGTTTAGCACACATTTTGCTTGCTGGGGCTCCAAATGTACTGTTACAACATCACGGACACTTCTTCTGCCTCAGTTATCCATGGACAACCTTATCTGCACAATAACAAGAGCTGCCGGCATGCTGTGAATAAAAGAAGAGAACGAAAAAGATTATTCTCACAAAATCATTCACTTTCTTTTGGCATCTAAATCTTTGGCTTCTCAGAAGCTGTAATACTGGTCTTCGAATGCAGACAATATTGAATGTAATGTTATTTCGAAGATGTTTAAGCCTGATTATTCCTCATTAGTTAAAACAATGTTGGTATATTCAGCTTGCCAGATAAAAGTGTACTTTATGTTTTCAGCTCTTAATTCAGTTGGATATATTCCAGTAGCAAATGGTTTCAGGTTATTAATTTCCTCATTACAAAAGTGATTATCTGAAATCTGACCTGACTTTGGAATGATATGGAGATAATCTTTGCAGCATGTTCTCAGACTTCCCACAACCTGGTTTTTACTCCAGCACTGACAACATGCACTACACTTTTTGCCCACCCAAGCCATGAAGACTTTTGCAACTTATTTGTATAGGACAACTCTAGATTTAATTCCAGGAACCAAAAGCACTGTAGGCAATAATATTCCCCTGGCAATTTTTTGTTTGCCTTTGTCTAGGGTCTGTTCTGGTTTGAACTTTTCTCTCGGGCGGTCTGGACTGACTCTGATTTCCTGATGCACTATTCCCTTTTCATGTCTCTCCATTGTTTGCACAGGCTGTTTGAACTTCAGTCATTTTTCAGCTCTCCTCTCTGCTTCTTCACCTTCATGTGCAAATGTGCATTGGTTGCTCTGCTGCAGAGTAGAGGGTTATCGCTTTCTTTAGTTATGTCAGGAGTGCCATACTAAAGAGATTTGCATCTTAACCTAGTCACCTAGGTGCTCTAGTATATATTACTTTCCTATCTTTGTAACTCCATTTCACTTCCTGTATCTGCAAAAGTAAAATGGGGGGGGGGTAAACTGGTGAGCACTTCTTTCTTAGAGCCAGCTTGCCAGTTAAATTAGATGGTCCAGGGATCTCCAGTGTTTTGGAAGGTATTAAAAGGCAGTCTATGAAACCATTACAATGTTTCCACCACGAGTTTCCCCCTGCCACACACACACATGCACACATGCAAATACTCATATCCAGGATCTAAAGCAAACAAAGAAAGGTGGTTAAATAAAAATAAAAATGAACAGTCCTATTTAGTTCCATTTTTTGAATGAGACCCCTCATGGCAGTACTGATGAGGGCGGCTGCTGGACTTCCAACCCAAAAAACCAAAGGCCCTCCAATTAGAAGAGTTTGAAAGCACCTCTTTAAATAATCCTCTACAAACCACGCGCCTCGCCACTGTGCAGCATTATCACAGATGAGCCAGATACAGCGAAGGCAGTTAGAATGAAAACCAGAGGGAGGAATGTTGCTTAAAGCAACTCACTTTTATTGGCAGAGTACTGTAAGGCAAGGGAAAAATGTTTGTCAGATTTTTTTAAAAAGAAGATTTGCAGCAAGAATGATTCAGAAAGATCTGCAGTTCAATATATTATTGAACTTTAAAAGATACTATCTTTTATAAATCCAATATTTATCTTTTTGTCATATATACAAAAGCTCAACTTAAGCACAAAGCAGAGCACAAAATAATGGATTTGCATATGAAGTTTTGTTATGTTTCATAATTTGCTAAACAAGAGAATGCACATGCTCTGTTACTATAGAGTTACAGCTGACTAGATTTAAACTTAAATATACCCCAAAACACATAAAGAAACCACAAAATACTGATGTATTCAATATGACTATTTTTGAAAAAAATCTAAACCATGTTCAACCATACACAGGGAACAAAACATTGATAGATGCCAAGAAAACTCTATTTTATGGTCAAAACTAATTTTGCATTTATGGCAAAGGCATCTGTGAAAACAATGCTGTATTCTGACCACTCTACATTAATATTTTGGCCAGAAAACATCGCAAAGCACTGGCTTTTGTCTGCTTTTTAAAGGATATATTTTAAAGTGGTGATGTACATTAACTGTGAGCCTCTTACAAGATCTCGTATCAGGCCATGTTAGAGCAACCTATCATTTCCATAGGAAACAACGGTAATGGAAAGGCCTCAGGTTTGTTAAAAAACCCAGTCAGGGGCCCAGCAACAAAATCTGCAACCTCTTAGGTCTTCCTTGAGGAAAGGGCACATTTCTACTCCACATTTTTAGACAGCCTTAAATTCTGAAACAAGCAAACTCTGCTGCCTTTTGCGGCTTTTCTTCTCCACCTCCGTCTCTGTACAGCATCAGCCTTTTACTGCAAAAGCTTTTATGAGAGGGACTTCTGCTATTTCACCAGCGATAATGTAGCACTATTGGTGCTTCATAACATAAAAGAAGGCTAACACATCAAAACACGATGTATTGGGATTAAAGGGACAAAGGTACTTAACCACAGTACGATGTCATGCCGTAGCTTCGCAGGGCTGTAGCATGAGTAGTAACATGGGTAAGTAAAATTCACTTCTACCTACGCAGGCAAAACTGAATTGTATTTTAAAAGTCATACAATACAACTCTGTAATTAGAACCTCCAACATGCTAATTTTTATCACACAGACAAGAAGAAAGTTATCTTACAACTACACAAGGAAATGGGACCCAATTAACAGAATAATGACACCATACATATATGTAACCAGTATATTCTGAAAATGAAGCACAAACCATTTTTTTCACATGGACGCCTTTTGCTAGATGCTTAAATGCACAGTTTTCTTGTCTGTTTTTTTTTCTTTTTTTTTCATTTTCTCTATGAAAATCAAGCTCTTTGCATAATTAGCCAAAACCCATAGATATTTACATTTTAAAAGCCAATCCTTCACCTTCTAATTTTAAAATGAGTTATCCTGTATCTTGCATATTTTAAAAAAAAGTCCAGAAAAAGCTTAGAACTGTAATTCGGAATCTGTACTTTGTAAAAATACTTCCCTTGAACATGAAGTCAGTGCTGACCTCTTCAGGTCATCTGTGAATAATAAAATCTGTCTAAAGAGATATTACTAAGTAAGAACTGAGGGAAAACACAAAAAGAAGAAATACATTACCCCTGTATTGTAAAGTGTTGCCACTTTAAAGTACGGTATAGGTTGAAGAAAAACATAGAGGTGTGTATATCAAAATACATTTTCATTATGTAGCTACAGAACATATGAAGTCTTTCAACGCTCTGTCTGCTAAAGGCAATGTAGTCTCTCTGGCTTTGTTAGTACTGCTATTGTATACAGGTTTCTTAAAGTACAGTTAGTATCTATAGAGGTGAATTCTAACATATAAGTGTGTGCTATGCTTCTTATGGCAGAAGAATAAGCATTTGAAAAAAATTATGACATAGATTTTAAAGAAATTGTACATCACACAGTGTCTTCAATTCTAAACATAGAAAATTAGATTGTACTTGAAATGGTTGTTGTTGCAGTATGACTTAATTTTTTCTCAGATATCAAGAAGGTCCTCTCCACTCTCATCACTCTCCACAGTTAATTGCCTTGTCCACCACTTCTTGACTTCTGATCCACAAGAAGCAGCATCAGACATGGGATTCATTTTGCATACAACAGATTTCATAGTTGAACGTCCACCAAAGCGGAGGTTGACTGAAGACACTGAATGGCTTATTGGTTTGGGAGCTATGAAATTAAACAGAAAGTTCTGTATTAGAGTACATCTGCTTCTTGAACATTTTTGCTTAGAATTCTTTGCTTAGAACTGATTTAGCACAGAAAGAGTAGGGCTCTTGTTCTAATGTGGGTTTTTTCCCAGCTCCAGCTGTTCACCCTGCTCCCACTAATCAGCTGGTAGAGCAGTTAACTGAGCACTGCCTCATTTCCTTCTGCTGGGATAGCTGATGTAATAGGTCTCTTCTTACCTGGCTCACTGCAACCTATAAGGTTTAGGCAGTACTTATATAAGCTGACCTGCTGGCAAAACAGTAAAAGTGGTAAGCGCCAGAAAATGGGAAGGAAAAGTGCATTTAGAAGTGGCAGCTACACCTAGACAGTGATATTTAACTATGGCCTAGGGGTGGAACCCAGTACAAGGTTGGCTTTAGAAAAGCACTAAACCACATGTGTAAGTATATGAAAACCACAACTGATCGTTATGATGCTATTCATGATCTCAAATACATACCTTTAGTGGATTGGGGGCAGAGTACTTATCATCTGCTGGGATGTACTGGGCATGGAGGTGACCCTCCTTTTCTGAGACTGCCCACTGAGGAGTATTCAAGAGTGACATGGCCAAGATCAGTGCTAATAAAGAAAACCCTGAACTACTCATTCTTGCTTGAAAAACCTATCCAGTTGGCTACAGTAGTATGTTTCCTCCTTACCACTTTCCCTCTTTTTCTCTCTGTTCCAACAAAATGTTGATCTTCGCTGCTCAGTGACATTTAAGTGGAAAACACGGATTGAAAGCTCTCTATTAAGCTGTCCTGTTTCTTGGACTAGTACTCTGGTCACAAAAGTAGGGTTACTGGTACTTATAGCATGACCATCTCTTCTACTTCCACCTAGATATGATTAGGGTCTGAAGAGTGGCAGCCTTTGAAGGCAGAGCTGTGATGTGGAATAGGGCTGACTGATGACAGCTGAAAGCGGGTTGATATGCACACTCCTAACCTGCTGGTCGTGAGATGTGGCAGGCAGCAGAGGTCAATATGCACTTTAAGAGAGAATATTTCAGGTGGTAGAGAGTGCTTTTGAGCTAAAGACTTAATAAGGCCCCAGACTGTACCTATGTACCTCTCCCACCCTCCTATAAGGCATAGTCTAGCCTTTCTTTTCTAGTGGACTGTAGTTACTAGAATAACTTGATGTTTCCTGGTTGTGAGAAAATAAATGGGAAAATGATCGTATACCTGGCCAATTCCTGGCTGAAGTGAAGCTATAAAAATGTATTATTACGGTGCAAAGTATAAATAATACACCTGGTATGCTTAGGCAAGACAAGGCACTCAGAAGTTATTACTGTTGTTAGGAAAAACTTCATTCATTTTCACTGTGTTTTATATGATAAAGAAGAACTCTAAATGCACAAGATGCTATCCAAACATATGGGATGGTATGGCCCCCAATCCAAAAATCATGAGTAAATGTATGAAAAAGTAAAAAAACCCAACCATCTGCAAACAGCAATGCTTGAGCCCATCTTCCAGACTTTCAGAATTGGGAGTAAGGCAAGAGATTGCTGTATTTCAGCATACACGAGGGTAGAAAAACCCCTGATATGGGTGCAAGCAGCATGCAGGAGGTAGAATTGTGAATCATGAAGCCTTTTGTGGCCTTGTTATTGTACAGCAGTGATTTGGCATGTGGGGACTACACTGATACACATTTGTAATGTACCTGATGGCAAACGCCATTGTCCAAATTTCCGCTGAGGTTTCCCAGCATCTGCAGAGTCTTGTCGATAACCACCTCTGTCAGAAAGCGTTGGGCTAAGGAGCTGCTGCTGGCTACTTGTCTGAACAGAGAAAAAAGAATCTCAGTTACAGTTCCCCGTTGCATGGGGGTAATCCTAGGAAGGGTTATCTTTCCATTCTATTTCCAAGCTTTATACATGAATATAAACCAAATATATTGCCATTTGTTAAGGCAGCATGGTTGCTATTCTTTACTGCCCCATAAAACTACTACTAATAGGAAAAAAAAAAGACTATTTGGTCTCAATTCCATTACGCAGTCCCACTGAAGGGTACAAAATTTTTCCCAGTCTTCCACAGTGGAGTCCTTATGCTGTACCTTCTTCATTCCCTACCCTGGAAGAGCCCAGGACTCCTTCTCACAGGATCCGGAACGCCCAGCGTTATCCCTCTCAGTGGAAACACTACTTCAGAATACTTGAACAGGAAAGCTTCACATCCTTGAGCCTGTACACAGCTCATGCTAGTGCTGAAAGAGTCGTACAGCTGAGTTTGCCCTTTACGATGCTAGCACGACAGCTAACTAAGCTGGGGAATTACTGCCTTAGACCATCTTGTCTTTGCATCTTAAGACAAAGACTGAAGCAAAACATGATATTGGTTTCAACTTTTCCAGTTAAAATGTTTGAAAAAGAACAAGTAAGAAACATGGAAGTTTTCTGAATTTGTTCTGAGTAGCTGACAGTTGTCTGGTTAACGTACCTCTGGCTGTGCACTGTTATCCTGATTTATAGCATTCATATCTTCACTTGGCTGTGTCGTCTCAATGCTGGGAGGATTCAGAAATCGGCTCAGCTCCTGCTGCTGACTCTCTCGCAGACTATGGATAATGCTGCACGACTGCTGTTGTTTCTGTCAAGGTACAATATGTGACAACAAAAATGTTCTCACTGGTGTGTCACAGTGTTGGATTTTTTTTTTAAAAGCCTTCTAAATATTTAACCAAACAGTGAGCACCAGATGTGGATACCAGGTGCATCGATAAAGCCACATGTATCAGATGGTCGCTATTTAAATAAAGTGACTTCCAGCATATGTCTAACCTTTATGTAAGAAGTAGAGGATGGAACTTATAAACTGTATTAAGTGCAAGGCAAATTGCTCAACTGTTGATTTAAACCTAGAGTTTAAAAACATACAAAGTTTTTAATTTATGAGTTAAAAGTTCTTGCAAAGAAAAAGAAAGAAAGGTATCAGTAGAGATTCACTAAGAATTAGATGAAGACAATGAAAAAATTCTGATTTCTTTCATGGGCTTTGTAACAGGCTGTCAATAAGACTGAAAAAAACCAATAGTGGAAACCTTGGGAATGAGTATAGGTTCACAGCACAAATAGAAAAACAAAATGACTACTATTATGATCTTACAATCTAATTTGCTTTTAAATTAAAATAAACAGCCCTTAGGAAGGATTTCACTTTCCTGGGTAGTTTTCACATGCTTCCTCTAGAGAGACTTAGAGACTAACAAGAGAATTTGAAAATATATATTAACTTCCATAATTACGTTCAGTTTATAAAAGGTTCATATAATGTGAAATGATCTGAACCATATTATTAGAGTGAAATGAATAGCATATTTACTTTAACATAATGTAATTCAATATTATAATGAAATGAACAACAGAGTTGAACAAACCCAGAATTGAGAGCTGAGATTAAATTTACTTCTATTATTATTACAGAGATGAGATCAAGATGAAACTATCTATCTGAATATGCCTTCAACATTGGTGTTTCAGCTGGAATGTACATTACATTCAAACTGTCCAGTTATGTTTTTTTATAAATTTACAAACAGAAAAAGTCAGATCCCATGATCACATATCTCTGTGGAAAACCTCCATGCTCAAGAAGTAAGATTTTATAAAAATAAAAATATGCATAAAAACCTGGACTCAGCCTTACAGTAACTGAAAAATCAGTCATCAAGGCAACCAGGTTACCACTTTTTCTATAAAGGAAGAGTTGCTTTTGAAAGAAAAGAGAAGAATAACTGCAAAACCTAACTCAAATTTCCTGATTTTTTTTAATATACATTTCATGCAAGACAAACTTTGATCAGCATATATTATAGATATCCTGAGCAAAGGCAAAAAAATTTCTGACAATCAGAAGCACTGTGTAAACAGAACACAGAAGCACCGGCTAGATCTATACTAGTAAATCAAACAGGCTGGGATTTACTGCAGTGCTGAAGCCAAGTGACGGGGCAGGACTTGCATGATCTGATCTCTCCTCTACCACACAAGACAGCTTCAACCACTGCCTACTGGGAGCAGTCTTGCTCCTGATCCGTGTCTGGAGGGCAGTGATGCTCCTACGGCAGTGGTCTGGGAGACCATATGACAATGGTCTGGGAGAGTATGAGTATGCATGGGTCAAAACTGTGCCGAGGAACGTGCTAACGGGTGTGGGTGACCTCAGCCCAGTCCTGAGCCAATGCCTTGGCCCTGCCTAATTTACTGGCATAGACACAGCTACTGTGTGCCACGGTTCATATACTTGATTTGCATCTACACACTGCTCATTTGCACACAAAGTTACTGTAATGGCCCATTCAAATGATGTATCTTGATACGTGTTCCATTTGAAGAGTCATTTGCTCTTGATTGATCAGGGGCTCTTCTGCCAGCAGAGGCAAAGACTAAGCCTATGGGGTTTCATCAAAGTACATTGTTTTTTTTTCTTTATTCCTTTGACTTTTGTCTCTGCACATGTATCTTCCTGCTATATTGAAAAGACAGATAAATTTTTGGCAGGAAGGCAGTTTTTGCCTTCAAGAGATGTTTATTTTTGTAGTGTTTTCAATTGAGTTGTGACATACTTTTTTTTCTGCTGAGTTAGCAACTGCTTCATACTTCTTCACATAAATATTATTGTGACTCCAGAGTATATGAAGCATAGTGACAGCAAATTCCAGCATTGTTGAGCAGTACAATTTCTGCAACCATTTACATCCTGTTTTAGCTTGACTTACTGCTCTGATTCGCTTTAAGCATTTCTTCAGCCACATGCGTATGGTCTGTTTGGCCACCTCCTCTTCTATGGTATATTCCAGTTGTTCCCTAGCAAGCAGCTCTTCCAGTTGAAGACTTTTTCTGATATCAACAGACCTATATGAAAGCATGCTGGAAGAAACATAGATTTTTTTGGTAAATGCTGTTGACCTTACATTTTAATTTAGAAAATCAAAATTCATACTTAAGCCCTTAGTGCAAAAATATGTAATTCGTGTGTGTGCAATAAATACACACTTGAAGCTAAAAAATGTTGAGATGATTCCAGAAGAGATTTGTGGTGCTCAAAACAAATGCAGACAGTACCACCTTCATCTAGCTTCAATACAGGTGAGCTGCTGAACTGTAAGTGACTAGGTCATTTGTGGGTTTTGGACTTTTTCTCTGCCCTAAGTGTTTACTTCTGGATTATGTTCCCACTTCATTTTATTTCTGGTCAGATTCACTGTCATTTTGCTACATGGGTGGGGACAACTTTGCATTGCTTGGGATACAAGAACACCACGAGACGGCTGTTTAAGACAAACTGTCTCAAATGAAAATGTTAGAATTACTTAGAGCTGATTTCCTAGGACCTGTGTATTCCATCACAAATATTTCTGCAGGAAAAAAATGGATATCTAATTTTTTTAAAATTACATTTAAAATGGCAGTGCCTCTGTGGCTACCAAACTTGCCTTTTCCCAAGCCTAATGAATACCTTTTAGCCTGGAGAGAAATACAGACCATTATACCTGTTCAACAAATCTCAGAGTACCTGAGCACGTCATGGAAAGTGACATCACCACCATTATGGAGCCGTTCCATTTCGTAGCACATGTGCTTGAACAGCAGCTTGTCCTTGTCAAGATCCACCTCCAGCCTGCCCCGCAGAAGCCTCAGCAGAAATTTCACTCGGAAAGTAGGGATTACTCCCTGGGTAAAATTGCATAATAGCTGGTAAATTATTACTGTGACCTAACAACAAACTCAGACATTCAACCTGATCAGTGAGAGAAACTCTATTTCTCCAAAGACTCCGTGTCAAATCCTGGCCTATTTAAGTCACTGTGAATACACTACTGAAGGATATACACATGCAGCCAGCTCCTCAGCAATTGTGCATCAGTTGTTGTTCATGGAAGTCTTTGCTGTTATTTGACTGATACAAAATGGGAATCTGTGTTGTTAATTTTGTCAGAAATTTTCAAAATTGCTTGGGGATTTAGTTTCCCATTTGCATTAATCTGTAATGAGAATTATATGCCCAAAGAGCTGCCTTTGAAAAATTGAAATTAAACTACAATTTAAACATTCACAGAGAGGCCTACACCTGTCTGTAAAACTGTCCTCTTCTCTGTGCATCTTTGGACAGGAGAATGTTGGGAATTTACTGGCTTTTCAAAGGTCTTCTGCTCTAAGAGTCAACCTAACATGTTGCACTTTTTGTGCCAACAGTTTTGATCTGCTGTTAAAAGTTAGGGCTAAAAGTACTGCCCTCCAAAACTGTGATATCCATACTCTTTAAATATTTTGTTCTGTTAAGTAAGTCTGACTGGAACTGTTTTTGCTATGATGTCAATCCTGGGCACAATGGATGCAGAACCCTCCACCTCAATCAGTACAGACTGCAATTTCCATCTCCAGCACAGCCATGTGCCACCTACAGGCAACCAGCTTCTTTCACCATAGTGTTGTTCATACTCAAATCTTAGGGAAGTCATGAATCATTCAGATGATGATTTAACTTGTGTGGGTATCTGAACAGCTCAGTCTCCCAGATGCTCTTCTCATCTCAGAATCACAGAATGATTAAGGTTGGAGGGGACCTCGGGAGGTCACCTTGTCCAAGCTGCTCTGCTTAAGTAGTGCTTCCTAAAGCCAGTTACCCAGGACTATGGCCAGACAGCTTTTGAATATCTCCTAGGATGGACACTCCACAACCTCCCTGGGCAAGGTGTGCCATGGCTAGCCACACTCGGTGTGAAAAAGTCTTTCCTGATGTTCAGGGGGAACCTTCCATGTTTCAGTTTGTGCCCATTGCCTCTGGTCCTGTCATTGGGCACCACTGAGAAGACCCTGTCTCTGTCTTTGCAACCTCCCTTCAGGTATTTATATACATTGATGAGATGCCCCCTGAACCTTCTCTTCTCCAGGCTGAACAGTCTCAGCTTTCTCAGCCTTTTTGCATAGGAGATATGCTCCAGTCCCTTCATCATTCTCATGTCCCTTCACTGAACTCTTTCCAGTATGTCTATGTCTCTATTGTATGGTGGAGCCCAGAACTGGACACAGTACTCCGGGTGTGGCCTCACCAGTGCTCAGTAGAGGGGAAGGATCATCTCTCTTGGCCTGCTGGCAATACTTAGCCTAATGTAGCCCAGGATACCATTAGCCCTCTTTGTTGCAAGGGCCCATTGCTGACTCATGTTCAACTTGGAGTCCACCAGGACTCCTAGCTCCTTTCCTGCCAAGCTGCTTCCCAGCCAGTCAGCCCCCAGCATGCCTAGGGTTTTTCTTCCCCAGCTACAGGTCTTTGCACTTCCCCTTGTTGAACTGCATGAGGTTCCTTTCATCCCATTTCTGCAGCCCGTTTAGGTCCCTGTGGATGGCAGCATGATCCTTTGCTGTATCAGCCACTCCTCCCAGTTTGGCACCATCTGCAAACTTGCTGAGGGTGCACTCTGCCCCATCATCCAGATCATTAATGAAGGTGTTGAACAGGATTGGACCCCTGGAGTACACCACTAGTTACTGGTCTCCAACTAGACTCTGTGCTACTGATCATCACCCTCTGGGCCTGGCCACTCGGCCAATGTTCAGTCCACCTCCTTGTCTTCTCATCCAGCCCATGCTTCATCAACTTCTCTATGAGGATCTTATGGGAGACAGTACTGAAATCTCAGCAAAGCCCTTCTGAAGATCAGGCACATAAATGGATGTGAGTCTGTAGACTTCCAAGGGAACAACGCTCAGGTAGCTGGGAGGAAAGCTGTATTGATCCTATGAATATCTACATTTGTTTTTAAATCTACTATTATAAGTACTTCACAGTAGTAAAGAATACAGGTTAGTATTTGAAAGGCCACGAACAAGGTTAGATCATGCTCACTGAACTTTCACAACCTGAACAGTAACTGCTCAGTGAGTTTTGTCAGCACACTTTGTTTTCCCCATATGTTTTTTCAAGGAAAAAATGTAAATTTATTGGACTTCTGTGCTCATTATCAAGTTTCTTACCTCTCTTTTGTCATCAACCATGTTCCATATAATTTGAAAATGCCTAAGATCATTGTAACTTAAAAGTTGGTCTTCTTCAGTTGAATAAAACAATGAGAAATTCTCCACAATGATAGCTGAAAATCACAAAACCAAAATACACTATAAAGAAAGCCTATAGTTACATTCTGACTGGTTAATCTCTATAAGCAACACTGAATTTCAACAGAATATGAATTGTGTTGTGCAAACTTCACACTAATAAATGCCTTTAGCTGAATGTTCAGATGAGGATTTTGAATAGGTAATATACTGTCATGCTACATCAATATTCACTGTGCTCACTTTTTAAAAGCTGTATCTTAAATGCTGGTGAGATGCCTAACCTAATATCTTCTAAAATCAATTAGACGAATTCCAATGATGTTGGAAAAATGTTAACTGGAGGAAGAAAAAGCTCAGAAAAGGATATTCCTTAGGGTAACTATACTCCACAAATACAACATATCTCTTCAAAAAACATTTATTCCCAAACTTCCTGAGTTTTAGCATACACCATACCAAAGCAGTATCAAAAACATCATACGCATATAAGGTAACAGAGAAGGTACAAGGTAACCTCATATCTGAACAGCACAACAGACTCAAATCTCACATACTACATGCCAAGATGGACCTTTTTGTTATTAATGTTTATTTTCACTTACCAACAAGCAAATTCAACATGATGTATGCAATGATAACGTAAAATGAACAGAAATACATAAGAGCACCAGCATAATTTCCACAGTCTGTTTTCCAGTAGGTGCTGTTATCTGGTGTACAAAATGGAGGCTGAACCTTCAAAACAAAAGAAAACAAAGTCAATTAATCATAAAAAGAGATTCTTAATTTCTCTGCAAGCAATGCAATATTTATGCTATAACTCTTTTAAAGCTTCACTATTAGGGAGTAGTGCTGTTGGCATTATTGTGGGCAGGTTTTTGTTGTTCCTTTGGCCGTCAGAAATCAGAAAACGGAGGTATGACAGAAAATGCCTAGGCGTGGATCTCGCTACCACACACAAGGCACGCTGTGCATTATGCTACTGTAAAGAAACAACTTGGTGCTTTGAAACATGGTGGTTTTCAAAAAGCTTCCCGCCTACTAATATTAAAAAGGAAGGGAATATGATTTTCATTGCAATGGAAACCACAGACAGAAAATTACTTCAGCAAAATAAAATGATTCCATGAGAAATTTTGAGGTCATTAAGACCACCATTCACATGGAATAAGCCAAAGTGCAAGCATTAAAGACAAAGTTAATCTGAAAAGTCACCTTGCCACAGCCAAAGCAGAGATAACAGTGGAAAAGCGAGTTACTGCACTTCTGATTTTGAAAACATCTTTTTTTGTTGTTTTTAAATCATATAGTAGCTTAGCCCCATGAAGTATTACATTATGAGAGTGTGATTGGAACTGCAATTTGTGTGTCATGTTCTGAGGTTTAGTGAACCTTCTATCTCTTGAAGAGATAAAAGCAATCACAACATTCCTTGTACAGAGCTAAGATACTGGAAACATTTTGAGATGCAAGGGTGTCTCCTGTTTCTTGGCTACTTTATCTCTGGCAGTATTGTATTTACCATGCAGTCATGCATAATTTTGTTCCAGTCTTCTCCAGTAACTATTCTGAAGAGTACAGTAATAGCCTTGCCAGCTGATGAAAAATTTGCATGTCTGTTTTAAAGAACAAGAGAGAGAGAGAGAGATATCATTTCACACCCCAGAACTAAAATGTTGGCAAGAAAAAAATGCAAATAATTTCCATTTTCTACTGTTCTACTACTTTAAAGTGAAAATAGTTACAGTATTATTTGAATGAGCTCATTGAATTATTTTTCCATGACTTAAGATATAATAACTGAACTTCAGCTCAGACACAGGTCTGAGTATTTTGGCTCAATTTATCAAAGAGCAAAAGCAGACTCAAGGCCAGGTCCTATCTCCTGTCTCCATTCTCTTCCTGAAGTCTGATGATGCTATTGATTGAGCAATCTCCAGCTAACAGCTACTTCGCAGAACTGTCCCCTCTCTGTATCAGCTTGGTATGTGGATCCTGCCCCTGGGTGATGCCGATAAGGTGTAGTAGCATGCTGTGTTTCAGCAGCTTGCAGCTAGTGCAGTGTTACTTTGAAGCATATTCCAGCTGGCATAATGAAGAACAGCTCTCAGTCTGCTCTGGGCTGGATTGGGTGTCATTTGGTCCAATGCACAAAGACTGGAAAGATGGCTCAGTGCCTCCTACCAGAAATTCTGTTTAGAGCTCTTCAGCTAGACCTGGGGACTTGTCTGGTTTTTACCATGGATAAACGTCTCTCTATCAGAATGTGATTTTTTTGGGCTGTTTAAAGAACACCCCCATGAGGTAGTACATACTGTACCTGTTAATGTTCTCTCCATATTTCACTGTACCAAATAAAACCACTCCAGCAAAAGCATAACAAAGAAGCAGTAAGAACATTCCCACTATGATGAAGAAACTCTTGTACATGCTGACAACCACAGTCAGGAGCAGCATTTTTAGTGTCACCTGGAAGGACAGAGAAAAAGCAAACCACGCCATCATTCAGGAAAGCAGAAATAAAACGGAAAAGAGACTTATTGCAGTTGTCATTTTGACAATGCATTCTTCACACATCTATGTTAATGGATGAGCCAAGTGAAATGGTACATTAGGAATCTGATTGGAACTGAACATTTTGTGTCTTCCTCTGAAATTTAGTGTGCTTTTTACTTGTTAAAGAGATCAGCATATCCACCTAATTTACAAGGTCAAGATGTTGCTCCTCAAAGAGGATGTATAGGATAATACAGTACAGGATAACAGCAATAATACAGCATAAGGTTAACAATAATGTCCTAGGATCAGTATACTCTGGAAGTATCAAAAGTAGCATTGCATGAACAGTGGTGGAATGAACTACTTTGGGCTTACCTGAAAGTGATGCTATTAGGTGGAAATCACAGATACTGCAGCCTACCTAAAGAAATGGGTTGATGTAGTGTCCTGGTTTCGGCTGGGATGGAGTTAATTTTCTGCATAGAAAGTAGTATGAGACTATGTTTTGGATTTGGGATGAAAAAAATGTTGATAAGTTACTGACGTTTTGGGTTGTTACTAAGCAGTCAAGGGCTGTCCGGCTTTTCATGCTGCCCTGCCAGCGAGCAGGCTGGGGGTGCACGGGGAGCTGGGAGGGGACACAGCCAGGACAACTGACCCGGGCTGGCCAAAGAGATATTCCATACTATATGATGTCATGCTCAGTACATGAAACTGAGGGAAGAAGAAGGGAGTGGGGGGGACACATCTGGATTTATGGCGTCTGTCTTCCCAAGTAACCGTTACGCGTGAGGAAGCCCTGCTTCCCTGGAGATGGCTGAACACCTGCCTGCCCACGGGGAGTGGTGAACGAATTCCTTTGCTTTGCTTGCGTGCGCGGCTTTTGCTTTCCCTATTAAACTGCCTTTATCTCAACCCACGAGTTTTCTCCCTTTTACTCTTCTGACTCTCACCCCGTCCCACTGTGGGGGAGTGAGCGAGCAGCTCCGTGGTGCTTAGTTACTGGCTGGGGTTAAACCACCACATACAGAGAAGGGGATTTCCTTAAGACCAGCACAGCTTGATTAAACTCATCAATTTCTCATGCGAGTTGGCCAAAGAGCTTTAGAAGAGAGCGTGATTTTGGAAATGACATAGGCAGTAGACCTAGACAATAGATATTACCTTCCCATGCATGTATATTGTACATTTTACTCTTGATAAAGTTATTGCCCTAGATTGCCCTAACATCCTTAACCACTTTGGATGCTATGGAAAATTCTCTTTAATAGGAATGAGGGTAGCAGTTTTCTTTAGAATCTTGCCAAAGTGGTAACTGGCTGACTTTTAGCCATCACATTGCATAACAGATGAATTAGAGAAACTGATGCAGTTCCTAACATGAAAGCACAAACGAATAGGTTAAAACCTTGAAAAAACTTTAGAATCAATCAGAAAGCTGTGAAGGCAATCACTTGGCTTGGTTGCATAGGAGAAGCAAGAATTTTTCATTTGACTTCCAAGGCTCTACATGCTTTCTGTCGTTTGATTGAAGGAAAACTTTTTATCTTTACTGAACAAACCTTCTGACTTATTGTTCTTAACCCCAGCAACCCAGTACAGCAGTCTTTTTATCACATTTACTTTAATATGTCAGATTTCACAGAAGTGTTTGGATAGTCTAAAAAGTTCTACAGCAAGAGACTGAAGAGTATCACCACTTGTTAAACAAATGTGTTTGTTCTCTGCTTATGCTCATTCTGCTAGCCTACTCTCAATTACACCAGAGCAAATCCAAACACAAAAGAAATGTAAACTTTAGAAGTTACTTGCTTTGTCACCATTTCAGTGTTTCCAGAAGAATATCTTGGCACAATATTTTTTTAAATTGAACATAAATTCTTTACTGTGATAAGACACACATTGTAGAGATACAAGACACAGACATGCACTCTGGGGAAGAAACTTCTGTAAGAGAGCACTATCATAACAAGATGAGTACAGCAACAACCACTCCACTAGTCCCGCAGAGAAAATAAATATATAGCATGCACATCACACCACACTGAAATGGCAAGGACTGAAAGTAGCATAATGTATGTTCAGAGTTTTAGAGAGCATTTTTAAAAAACTGTGTGGTATTCGCAGTTACACTTTTTTTTTTTTCAAAAAAGGCATCTTTTCCAGAAACCATAATTTAGTGCTATTATATAATAAAGACAGTCTGTAAAATTGGAGACTGCTGCTTAAGTCTCCTTTTTTTGGCATATAAAATGGAGCCTTACAGAATATGCACTAGGGATGTGTAGCAACCAGTCCTTTAATGTATACATGAGCACTGCAATGGTTGTAGTTCCTAATTTATACTTACATGCTTCCCACAAATTGAGAAAAACCTGAAGACAATTACACATGCCCCCATCATGTATGTGTACGCGTTCTGGAACAGAAACACAGAAGACTTAATTGATTGTCGCCCAGGGATCTCATGGAAAGATCAGGATAATTGGTCTTTTAATAATGTAGGGCAGTTGCCATATGAAATTAGGGAAATCATAAACTAGTAGCACCGATATTTCAATAGCAGTGGGGCAGTAAGAAACTAACAGAAGATGCTCTACCACTTCAAAAACACTAACCCAAGCTCCCCACACATCAAACCAAAAAACCTTCAGTGCCCTATTAGCTGGGCTGTAATTATGTCCAGCAGCCTGTCTACCTGTCTGGGCAGCTGCTAGCTTACAGAAACTCCTCAGGCTTTCCAAGCTACTCAGCGGCAGGGAGCAAACTGTGGATGTCAGGGCAAACTGACTAGCCACGGAAGACAGGTTTTCTTCCAAATAGAGCCTGGGGCCCCCAAGCATTTTAGAGTGGTGACTCCACAACTTGTGATTGGTGACAAGCATCAACTACCCCTTCTGCTTCCCTCATAAGTAAGGGAATCAGGGGTTTAGCTGACTTTAAAAAAACAGGATGAGATGGAGGGAGAGATGATTTCCTCCCCTTTCCTCCATGTCTTTTTGGATTAAACATAGTCCCTTAATCAAAACCAGTCATCCAGAATCACTGCTGGGTTTGGGACATATGGTACCGTTCAGCAGTTTTCAGTCTATGCCTTCTTACAGTCCTCTGTTCCTAGCTGGATTTTGTGCATTGCCTCTTTCCTCCTTGCTGCTTATGAGACTGCTGTTGGCAAGAGCTCTCAGTCTCTTCAGGTTCCTTCCTTTCTTCACTCACATCCCTTCCAGACTTCAGTTTTTTACCACATTTACAGACTCTATCTCATATCAGACCATTCTTGTACTTCATCATTGCTCCAGACAAGGATTCCTTCTTCTTAGCATCATGCTTAATTAGTTTCAGCCATATTTCAGCCTTACCAAACTCCCAAGAGTTTACGTCGATGTATAGCAGTGATTCTACTGCTGGTGCTTAGCAGATAATATCAAGCTTAATCATTGAAATCGCATTTTGTAAATCTTACCAGTAAGGCAAAATGAAGTATCACCCATATAACTCCAAGAGATGTCACCAAGAGATCATAGCGGTTTCTTCTGCTTTGCCAGAAGCCAGAAGGTGACATGGCAATAATCTTCATTGTGACCTAGGGATAAAAACAACCTCTCAGTTGTACTGAAGAAACGGCTAATTCTTACTATAAGAACTTCTAAAATGCTTGGCTGAGTTCATCTTATGAATGTTTTCAAACAACCAAGGGCAGCTTTCATGTCAGCTAACTGTTCCCATGAAGACAAGTTAGGCTGCTAGACTAACCGGATGATAAAAGCTTCCCTTAGATGGAGGAAAGCTGGTACTTGTGGAAGAGCACAGCTGACTGAGACGAGGGGATAAGCACTATTCTGGAAGTGTCTCGCTCCGTCAAGTGTTGAAGGACTGCAGCTGACCACCTCAGACTAAATGCTTAATATATAGATTGCTGAGGTGAATGTGGGCCTAAGATTTGTAAAAGATAAGCAAGCTATGAAGTTAGAAAATTATTATATCAATAATATGTAGCTAAAAGAGATAGTAGTATCCTATCTAGCTGTCCACAAGTAGGCTAAAATCACATAAGCACATTTGAACTCAAGAATATAATTGTGCCCTGTAGCTCCCATATTTCAAATTAAAAAGCATTCTTATATTGCAAATATTTCTTGCTTTAAGGAATAATCTGTACTCAGCACCATCTGTACTCAGCATCATATAAAAGAAGAAAGTTAACAACAGTAAAGGCAGTACATTTTACAGTGTTCCTGGTAAAAAACAGCAGCCAGAGTGCTTGATATTTCCGATACAGGTAATAGGAGTGCAGACAGGAAGCTTAAGAATAGATACTGGTAAGAAATACTCGCAACAGCTAACAGATATCAAGGTAGGGTGATGCAGGTAGAGGGGACACCAGCGAGTTTCTCATTCACAATTTGTATCAAATCAAAGCAAGTCAAGTTACTATATAAAGGCTATAAATGGCAGGCATTCATTATATGATTCTTTCCATCCCACCTTGCAACACTGCCATTTAGCAGGATTCTTTACATTTCTGAAACCTAAACTGTATATAAAGGGGCACTAGTTTGGTGTAAAAGTCTGATTTAAGAGTTAGTTTTCTCAAGCCTGACTACGAAATGAAGAATACAGTCTCTGAACCTCTAACTATCATTTGAGGTACCTGAAGGTACCTTGCCTCACCTGTATCCAGTCAGCTGAGATACCCTAGAGTATTGGAGACATATGCATGGGGCTGGAAGGGATGACACAAGACCTGCAAACATCCCTTCTGTAGAGGCTAGTGAAGGTAAGGAGAGAGGGGTACCTAAAAAAGCTTTTGATACATCCAGTTATTTAGGCAGCTGAATATCACCCTACATCTCCCTTGATCACAGTGACAGCTTAACCTCACATGTAGAATTTAAAGACCTAAGTTCAGGTGTCTATAAACTTGAACGGAATACCACACTACAGAAATAAAAATATCACATCTCGCTTTATTTTGTGATCATCAGTGTGGCAACAAAAGTGAGATCTCTGAATTCTTCCTGTTCTTCTATATCACATACACTGATGTGAGCAGTAGAGGTTTAAGACTGAATCAGGAGTCCTTAGACTGGACACAAGGCCATTAGCTAGGCAGAAAGCTTTGGCGTTCCTCATGGACCATGTCTGCTAGTGGTAGCAGACCATGTACATAGCAGACTCTGTAACCAGACTATCCTGCATTAGCTAAGGTCCTGGGCAGGAAGCTTCTTCCTCTGTCCGTGAATTGTGTGCACTCACAGTGTGATAGCTTGCCTGTTGAGACAGTCAACAAATTTTTCTTGGCTCTCACAAAGTTCCTTTGAAATTCTAGAAGTGTATTTGTTTCCCCTGACAGCATAAGAAAAAAAAAGTATTTCTAAAGACATAGTTACTAGCTAAATTAAAATCTGTCTGTGTATGATACAAACCAAACTTTTCCGTGTTTGCTCAGTCTCTCAAGAGGTATTGATTTCTCCTGGGCAGGGAGAAAAGAAGCAACAACATGGACACACTCTAGCTACAGCTGCTACAAGGTATTCACTTCATTGTTTATTCATCACTGCTGGCAAAACCTATCACTGGAACACAGGAACTGTCATATTGGATTAGAGCAGTGGGAAACGTAGTCTACTATCCTGTTTCTGATAGTGGTCAGTATCGGCTATTCAGAGGGGACTGAAAAGAAAATACTCAACCACAAACTTATAAAAGAATTATGTACTAACCTAACCACAGAGGAAGCATCTTCTTTAACCTCATAAATGTGTGCTTTGTTACACTATGGATATCCTTATACAGAAAAAAACAAAATGCTTTTCAAAATGTGATTACGTGCCTAGATTCCAATCTTAGGAAAATAGGCTAATTACACTTTGCACAGTTGACTGTGATGACAATTTTCTCATAGATAGAGAACTATTACCACACAGGATCCAGATCTATACAACAAAAGATAGGTAATAGTGGAATTGACACAGCTTATTTAAAGTTATTAAAACGAAGTATGATAATGAAAAAAAAACCCCAAAAACCAAAATGGAGGGAATTTGATGAAGTCACAGCTACAGAATGGTGGGAATTAATGCACCCTGTTCTGAAGAACCAGGCAAAATATAAATGGATTGAGCAGAACTTCCATGGTACAATACAGACCTTGTGCTGTACTGAGTGAATTTAGTCCAAGATGTTCTGCACGAACTGAGTTCACTGGGTTCACCGAAACACAAGTTGAAACACTCAAGAGTTGAATATATATAAAAGGACATAAGGCTGAAGGTGATAGAGAAGTATGACTATAACAAATTAAAGTCTTATTCCTATAATGCATGTTTAAAGACAAGTGACACGGAGAGCCCCAAATATGCATGTTCAGAAATAAAAGCCATAGTGAAGAGTAAGACAACATCCTTAGAGCCAAAATGAAGTATGTACATACTAGTCTTAATATCAAGAAGTCATAAAATAGATTACCTCAAGGACAAAAATGAAGGTGAAAACAACAGACATTGTTGCTAAAGGCACAGTCACCGGATCTGCAGCATCCCACTGAAATGCAAACAAAATCTGCTCATCAACGAGTAGCTGTGAAACAGAACTAAATGTCTATTCATTGCCTTAACTTTTCTTGCAGGTTTTGTTAATGAATAGATTTCAATTTAAAATATATTCAGACAGGAATGGCATCTTGGTGTATTCTTCTTGCAGATTTACAGCTTAACTGGAAATTAAAAATAGCAGACCAGACTACAAAAAGGCAGAAATTGACTCAGCTCCACAAGCTACAATTAATCTACAGTGATCTGTGCCAACCGAGATTGCTGTATCTAGAAATCATGTTTCCCT